AAAAGGAACTAACCTTGACTTCCAGGGTCCTCTTTCTCCGCACAGGTATCCTTTAATTTGTCTCCATTTAGCACGAACCAATAATCTTTGAGCCTTTTTCTGATTTTCCATTAAATATATTCTTGATTCTTCTTCTTCTTTTTTAATCTTAAAAGGCTCTAATATCAACGCCTAAAAAATAACATAATTACTACACATAATTTCAGTTTTTTTTCATATGATTGAATGAAAGCGCGTTTAATTACCGTGACAAAATTAATGCACACCGCTTAATTGATAGGTAAGCTAAGCTACAATATATTTATTAATAACTTAACTGAAAAATATTCATACGCTGAATATGTTGCTAATTAGATTAATACTAAAAAATAGAAAGTCAGCAACAATAATAGTTTTATAGTAGGTATGTAATAGTTACTTCCTAAAGTTAAGCAAAAAACACGAGTCACTAAATCTATTCTCCAAACAAAATTACACGTAGAGATCTCGAGTACACTTTAGGACGTTATGTAATCAAATTAAAATGGCCTCTAAGTAATGAATCAAGCCCACTTGTATAATAATTTAATTTTTAAAATAAGGTCTACCTACTGCGAATATTAAATGACGTACAATTTTATTACCTGAAAAGATTTTCGACTTTCAGCTACAAGTTTACTTCTGGTGTCCAATGCATTCTTGTATGACTCATAGCACTCCGCCCAAAACGTATTCATGGACTCGGTGATCTCGGCATTCATAGATCGACGGTAGTCTTTGCAAAGGTCCGATACCTGCGCAAAAACAAAATACATAAACGTCATAAACACAACATCAATCATCATCCAGCGAATGTCGTACTTTCCATTCTACAGGTGTGACAAGACAACGTTCTATGAATATTACCCATTGTGATCAGAATTTAAATCACATCTTTCGGGGGGTCAAAGGTAAACATGCAATTATTTGACGTGTCAGTGTTATGATGAACAGCAAATTTCTCTATGTACCATTATAGAATGAGGGTGTCAGTGAATGGAACAAGACAATGTTAATTCGGAACTAGTGAAACTATACAGTATACCTGCCTATAAGTATTCGCATAGGTACATATTATGTTCTTCAACAGCGGCTAAACCTAGTTGAATTAATTATTTCTAATTGGATGTCGTAAACTACTTGATGACAATTAGTCATTAATTAGATTTATATGTATGTAGATACCACGAGTCACGTTTAAGAATGAAATTGATAATAACAAAAAAAATAACAAAATAAATAAAAACTGATGTTGGGATATAGTATTTCTTGTAGGCAGGTAAGTACCTACCTACTAAGTTTCTGCGACTCAAGTTAAACATAGCTTTCTATTCATTTATGTCCACTTGCTACACCCGAATAAAAATCAGACTTGGGTCGTGCCGTCCAAAAAAACAATGATTTCACTTTCCGAAACCTCTCGTGACCCCTTCATCGATAATTGTGGCCAGATACCGTGAGAAACACTTCGTTATATTAATGTAATGATTATTCGCCGCCGCCACTGCTAATGGTGTATTTTTCCAGTGAAAGGATTAACCATCACACATTTCAATATCATATTATTATACTTTATTATTACGTTAATCAGCTACCCGCTATGACTGTTATCTCCCCCTTCAAGTACTGTACGAATCCTGACAATCGTCGACTGTTTAAAAAAAATACCGTACTTTGCATAATATTTAGACCACGCCAAATATAATTATGTTTGACGTCGAGATATTATTATGTTTTTTTGTCTATAGAAAATTCGTCCAAAGATGACTTTGCCAGTTTGCCGGTTACACACATACATAATAATGTTTGTACGGAGGTATATCATATCGTACACATTGGAACACTTTCGCTAGAATTACATGTTACATCGGAACAATGGGATTGAAATAAACGAAACGAATATCATTCTTGAAGACGAATATTATTCGTATGGAAAAACGATTGGACAATGGTATTCGGAACAATATTCATTGAAAAAATGTACGAAAATATTACATTCATATAGAACATAGAAGAGAGCGTTGTAATATCAACAAAATATGTTTATTATTATATGGGTAAAAAAATCTTTATTAAACTATAATACAGTTAGTTACTTTTGTAGAGTTATTATTGTAAACTATTATCAATGCAAACATTTTCCACACATTATATGGCAAAAAGATTAACTACAGTTAAACCTTACACGCATAAAACATTAAGCAGAACCACAGAGTATAACATTGAGTAGTTTCAGATATTGTGCGTACCTATATTTAACACGAAAATATAGGTATTAAAGGCAAACACTGATGTATATTATCATTACAGCACAAAACTATTTTAAAATCAAAGAAAAATACTCGTTATTATTGTAAAATCAATAAGTATAACACTTATAAGTAACAATAAAATTGTGAAGCCAAAAATATTATGCTAAAAACGTAAGTTTGTGCATATTTAATAATACAACAATCTGACAATATGAGTTCAATTTTTATTCAACAAAATAAATAAATAAATTTAGATTATTGATTGTATAATCTTAGCCGAGAACATACATTTTTTTTTTTTTTTAATTTCACTTGTATACTATGAATATTAATAACAATTAAGATCACATTATATATGTATATTAATTTAATTAATTAAAAAATATCAATATATATGTTCCAATGAAAAAGGAACTAATTTAAGTAATAGTTATAGGGTTATTGGTTATATGCGCATATCAAGAGGTCACAATAATTTATTTTAATTGCTGAGAGAACGTTTAAAAGTGATTGGCGATATGATGAGGAAAATYCAGGCCTGTGATTATTATGAAACCTAAGTGATCTTAGTTGCACATTTTAGAGATTTGTAGTGACCCCTTATAAGACGCGTATACCTAATTATTAAAACTAGAAAGAAGCTTTTAGAAATTGTATTATTGATAAGATGAAAAAAAGTTATCTGTAAGCTACTCGCTGCAGCTAATAGGTAACTTATTATGAGACTAATGAAGCATTATTGAAAGTCATCCGACAAAGACAAAGTATTCCAAGTCACCCAAAAATGTCCACTATTAATTTATGGTCCTCAAATTGGGGTTGGTTAGTATAGTATCGATATTATGAAAGCTTTAATCGTGTTGATTTTTCTTACTTAAATATTATTAGTTTCCTGTCAAATAATCCAATCACTATTGTGTAATATCATGATAACGGTTTGAGTTCCAACTTTTAACTTTATTGTTGTTGAATACAAAACAAACGTCTTATAATATTATTTATGATGTTATAAAAACATACACGTGATAATTTGTCTATGATTATGTATTTATGAGCATAGTAAATGAAAGAATTTAAACTTAGTAACAATGTACACGAGCGAAGTCCCTCCCCCCCGAAAATTATTGCTCCTAGTTTGGTCCTAATCTAGTTCCTGTTTTAATTAATCAGACTCCGGGAAAATCGGAAATATATATATTTATAATATATATCTGTATTAAATATCTATAATAGGTTCCGACAAAAAAAAACCCTCGTTAAAAATTAATAAATATTATTGAATACCTATCATTGAAACTGAAATAAAATATTTTATGATATATTTTAAGTATTTACCTATATAATATGTGCAATGTAGGTAGTTTATGTAATATAATGCAATTGTACAAATATTGAATTATGTTAAGAGCAGAATACTCATATAAAAGGGGATGCCAAAGACCTAATTTTATATTTTGGTATTTTTTCATCAAATAAATAATATGTRATTTAATAAAATCTTTAGGCGCATTGATGTATATTTAGTACAGTAAAGCTAATTTATTCAAGGTAATGTTTAATAATGTTACAAAATAGTAAAATTATTCTAAAATTATCAAATAAGAGAGTAGATTAACGTCTTATATTGTAGAAATATTTAATAATACCGTTAATAATTTGAATTGCACAGTACAAAGGGTTGCGCTATCATAATAATTAGTAGAGTGGAAATACTGATTAAAACATTAAAACTCGAAGGTTGGTTTAACTCTTAATTTTTTTTTTTTTAAATTCTAATAAAAACAACTTTTGAGAAGCCTCGGGTAACATTTCTAAGCTTTTTGACAGTTTTTTTAAGTTTTAGATACCTACCTATAGAAAACAAAGTCCAACATTTAAAATGTTTATAAATAGCTCAAAAAGTACTTAAGTATCATGTGACGAAGGTGCTGATACAAGCATTWGATAAAAATTTCAAATCTATATTTATTTTCGAATTACAACTAAAAAAAGAAAATAAGGATTTTAGTGTCTACCAGTGTAGAATGCTTAAACATTTCGATTTGGTACTCTGGATCTATAGGTGCGTCGAACAAACTGGATCAAATTATAGAAAATATCACCTCAAAGTGTATGATTTACACAGTCGTAAAGTTCCAGTTTAATGGGAATGAGTGATGGTGGACAAAACACATATCATTGTTAAACTAAAACTGCATTCATCAATCACAATTTAAAAAAGTATTTAAATACAAATACATAAATAATTTACAAGGCTGCAGATAATTAATATTAGTGAGAACTCGCATTTTGGAATTTATTTAATATTTTTAGACGATTTTTACGTCGGAAACTGGTCCATCACCGACGTTACAGTTAGTCACCATCTGACCATCATGCAAGACAATCTTCATTAACACACCTCGCGGCTTTCTTTTGACGCGATGAAAGTTTCGTATAACCATGTACCTATTAATGAACTGAGGAACTCGAAATGGCCTCGCGCGCGTGTATTATTATATTATTCACGGTCAGCTACATATCAATTACAAGAGATGGAGAGAGAAAGAGAGACATACAAAAAATAAATATTCAGTGGGTTTATGGGATTAATGCTGTTATGGAATTTTTCACAGAGTGTAAGTGGGAAAGTAAGTTCCGGGTGCTAACGCTGCAGAACGTTGGCGAGAGAAGAAGACATCCGTCGAGATAGCTCGGTGAACCAGCAGTGAGTTCCAGGACGCCGCTGAACCGACAATCTGAGGCTAGCGCGCGCCAAGTGCAGTTGTAGTATTCGTGTACCTTAAGTATTATTATACGATCGTCGATCAATAGATCACCACCGCTGTCGGTTATAAATTACAGAACACTACAGTTACTACTGATGGTGTTATTAATTTTGTTTTTTACTTAAATATTTTGACCGTTGGAATCGTTCGTTTAAACGGGTTATATATWTWTTTTTTTTTCATAAAATTACGATTTATCGTGGATTAGATCAAACGACAACATGATGGCTAAACGGATTGTACAAACAGTAAGAAATTTGATAAGCAATACACATTAATACATAAACAAGGAACCATGCAAGGATATAAATCACACTTGATATTAAAATTATAAAATAACATAGGTTTTAACTAACATAAATACACTTGAGTGTTTACATAAAAAATCTATTTAAGAAATAGTTTGTAGATAATACTAATCTACACACTAAGCGGTATTTAGAAATTCKTGATTATCAATAAAGATTAAAGCTATAGCAATAATAAAAAAAATAATATTGAAATAGAAAAATACAATACACGTCTTGTATTTAAAGTATCACTCGCTACAGACCCACAACAATAGATACCTATGTACAGATTAAAATTATAACTAAAAGATAACGATTATATATAGACTTTTCTTTATTTAAATTCAAATAATTAGTAATCTCTAGTGAAATAAATTCGAATATAATTTATTTGTAATATTGCAGTAAAAAAAAAAAGTTAAATCACTTAATACTTTTTGAAAATATTAAAATATTCGAAAAGTATACTTTTAGGAAATTATCTTATTTCAAAATTTCAAATAATTGTAATCTTAACATTTAGTATTTTCCTTATTTTTCACCATTCCTAAAGAAGAAAATTTCGGAAAATATATTACTTTTTTATTACAATCCACGGGTATTATCACTTTTGAAAAAATCCCCTTAAATATCATTAGTGTTATTGAAWTAACATGAACTGAAAACTAACGCATGATAAAAACTTAGCTAACTATATTCATCATATTTGATATTAAATAGTTAATACTTTTTAAAATGCGTTTTAACAATTTAAATAAAAGATGTGAAAATGTGGAGTAGCTATAAAATCATATGTTAAATCGATCTTTGATATTTTATCATRAATTAGAAGTTTAACCATTTAAATTAAATTATTAACAACTTAATACAAGTTAATGTAGTTACCCCCTTGTATATGTCTAAATTATATTGAACTCTAACAAATCTATCAGCTTTAGGTATGTATATTTATAGTAAACTATTACTATTAGTGTTTGTAAATTTTATGAAATTTAAAATTGTGAAACATTTTATATTTACGTATAAAAGTCATAATTTACATTCACAATTTTATAATATTAGGAAAAATAATCATTAAATACTCATTAGATTGGTTTTATTTGGTCAGGTTATTGAAAATGATCAACATCAATATTTGCATTACAAAAAATTTCAATATTTCACATTTTTGTGAAATATTTCATACTTCAAACACTATAATTACTATGCTCAATAATTTCAAAATGTTTGTATGTTTATAGTTTAAATTGTACATAATTTGCCATCATACTTGAATAATAATAATAAATAAAATGGATAATAAGACAACGTTTTGAGTAAAAAAGATATAATTAACCGTTGGTTAATATTATTGTATGAACCATAAATAAAAAAAAATTAAAGAAATATTATATAGAATGTTTGTGAACCCATTCACGCCCACTGATATTAATAAAGAATATGTATTTATTAAATATTTCAAAAACTATTATAAAAATATCGATTATCAAAACTTAAGCCTATAGCACAATTTAGAAGGAGACTAGCTGAAAGCTAGATCCTCAAATACAAGACACCCTATTCCACTTTCAGTCAATAACATATTTTGTTTAATCCCTCTAATTGTACTAGTAATTAAAATGACCACGTCATATTCAAAATAAGATTAAAAGCACTTAAAAAATGCTACAAAATATTACAATTTGCTTTTTTCTTTGAAATACCTAATTAAAAAATTTGGAATAAAACAAAAAATATTAGTTAAATTATATTTRGTTAAATTATACATCTTCATATAATATTCATGTTGTTCATTCGAAAGCGTTGAAATAACCACAATAGCATGTTTTAMACAAAAATTATCTATAATTTATAAACTGTTTTTCTTAATTTAATTCTTAATCTTTAATTTTGTGTACCTACTTACATTTAATATTAATTGCGCTAACTAAATACCTCATGTTTAATCATAAATCTTTTTCATAGATTATTCAATGCATAATTCATTGTTTTTTGAAAACCTTTTGCAATGCGACCATTTGATTAAGTCTGTTAATAGTATTAATACAATAACGTAATTAATATAAATATTGTTAAAAGAACAATGATCCAATATAATAAATTAGAACATTTTAGGATGCATACTTTAGGCATTCATTTTATATTTAATTATAAATTGATTTAATTGTATTTCATAAATTAATTAAACATGCTATATACAATAGACAGTTATTTTATCATACAAATTATATTATTTTTCTTCAATAAACAATATTTATGCACAAACTATTTTTTACAATGATTTATAGCTAAAACTGAAATAATTAATAAGACACATAAGAAGCAACTCGTAAAAATAGAAATTAGTTTTAAAAAACCCATATAAATAAAAGCACATAAATCATACGAAGGTAAGACATTCATTTTCACTTTTCTTAGATGACAAAAGAAAAGACCCCTCCCATTCCTAATTTAACGTATGAATTTAAAATCTTATATACTTTCACGGTTTTCCGCGAAGATTTCATAAGTGATGATTTGTTAATACRTTAATAATATTAAAAGCAAGAGATTTTAAAAGCATTTAATAATTTATTATAGTGAAATACTAACTAATTATTATTATTTCGTGAGATCTTTAAAATATTTTCTTTTTCTGAAACCCATATAATATGTTCATGTATACCTACTATACAATAATATGATAGGTACACATCTAATAGAATCTATATTAATATGAGCATTTGAGAAAATTTATTTTAAAAAATAGTACCTGCAGTGACGAAAATACTCACTGCGTATTGTTTTAATTTTTAAATTTGTAGGTGATAATTGATTAATTAAAAATTAAAATTTTATATATTGAGACTCGACGTGGTGCGGTGGCAGCAATCAATTACGCAACGTGATGGAGAGTTCACACCACCCACTACCACTAGTTACCGGATGGGTGACCACACGGGTTCTTAGCGACAAAAACATTGTTATACATATGCATGTTGACAACCTATACCGTACTAACAGTACTAACCTCTACCGTACCCTGCAATAGATAATGGCCATAGCTGCCGGGCTTAACACCAATTAAAAAAAAAAAAAACCTAAATGAAATGTTAAATAATCCATTCATTATCAATTACTTTAAAGTATACTTGCTGGAATATAAATGATCAGAAATAAAATTGTTTTTTAATCACTGTTCATTAATTGATAATAGATCCGTGATATGATAAGTGGTTTCTATAAATTAATTAATGCTATAATATTATTTCTACTGAAACTTATCAAATATAATACATAAATTATTTTAGATATCTATAAACAAAGATTAATATATAACAATAACAGTGTATTGTGTATAAAGTAAATGGTGTAGATCCCTATTAAATTAGTAAAAGGGGTATTACGTATGGGCTTCTTCCTCTATGCGTTACTTATGTTATTTTTATCTTATTGTAAATATTAAATTTTCTTATTGTAGTAATTGTATACAAATTGCAAATTATTTTACAAAACAAAAATCGAGTATAAAGTAATTTTTATATTATAGACGTACAAACTAACAGGTAGCACACTACAGTATTACTTAAATTCATCATAATCAACAACTGCAACAACACCTATAGAACTTATAGAACAACTTTTGAGGTAAAATTATAATATTATATATATATTTAATTTTATTTGATTAAAGGTGCAACAATAATCATTGGCTCTTATAAAATTATATAATATGTACTATGAGGTACTCATATATGAGCCAGTACTCACCAACCCCCTAGGATGTTTTATTTAAAATACTTTTAGTACCTATCTCAAAAATTATAACTCTTGTTGCTATAATTTTGTTAAGTATATTTTTTTTTTTTGCAATTACCATGAAAAAGCAAAAACAACCGGATTATTATTATATTTATACTTAAAAAGTATTAAAAATAAATGTGAATTATAATGTTAAGTATAATATTATAATTATGAATATATTCAAAAGTATTCAATTTTTTTAAATATGGTTCCTGCAAGGGTAGGAGAGTGGACATATATTTGTTGAGTAATCTGTACTTATTATAATTAACAATTAGGTATGACAGATTTATCCAAAAATTTGGAAAAAAAAAGTTAAGAAAGTATACAAAAAGTGCAAAATCCATATCGAAAGCTAATGTTGGAAAATACTACAAGCATTTTAAATTATTAATAAATCATTTCATACCAAACGGCTCTCTAGAGTCTAGATCATATAGTTAACACAATAAATATAAAATATATGATATAATATACACAGATATATACATTTTTATGATAACGTTTTTCAAATATGAAGTAAGAATGAAAATGCACCTATACACTATATACCTTATCATTAATCAATTAAAAAAAGCCATATAAATATTCCGAATCGATCTGTTTACATAAAAAAAGTATTTTAATGTGTATGTATTGTAGCTTATAATCTGAATTGAATTTATTTGATCCAATTTATTTTCGTACAGTGGAAAATATAACAAATGCGACATTTTTAGTACTTTTTCGTTTTTTTCTTTTTTTTTATAAATAATAAGATTAAAACTACTTATTAGTAAAATTTTTATTATTATAATCACGAAGTATATTTCATTTTAAACATAATATGTAATAAAGTTTAAGTTTTAACATAGGTATTGAGATTTACGAATTAAAAATGTTGTGAAAACCTCATATTTAAATTGCATACTAACCTATTATATACTTAACTTAAACAATTGTATTTTTTAATATATTTCCTATTTTTAACTAATAATAATATATAGGTATAAAGACCTTAACTGGTAATTATATTGCTCCAATGTAGGTAGTTTACTATCTACAATTTCATGATATTTTAAACAGTATAAGGACTTGGAAGTTATCAAATAATATAGGTAGATGCGAAAATATAATGTAGTAGATGTGGTAGACAATCTTAAAAAAACCGGATAAAATATTCATAACGTAATTAG